TCCCGCCACGCCGCCCACCTGCGCCAGCACCCCGCCGAGTACCGCCAGGCCCTGCTCGCCTTCCTGCGCTCGCTGGAGGGGCCCCCCAAAGCCAGGCTCTAGGGGGGACCCCACCCCAGGACGGACGGACGGACGGACCGACCGACGGACAGACCGACCAACTGACGGACGGACGGAGGGAGCGACGCAACCTGCCCGCGCGGGGCCGTGGGGCTGCTTTGCCCCCCATGCCCGGAGGGCAGTCTGGGGGGTAGGGCAGAGCCCTGTGGGTGTGCAAAGCCATGGCCATGGTGTGCAAGGCTGTGCCCACAGTGTGCGAACTCATGCCCATGGTGTGCAAACCTGTGCCATGGTGTGCAAAGCCATGCCATGGTGTGCAAAGCCATGCCACGGTGTGCAAAGCTATGCCCACAGCGTGCGAACTCATGCCCATGGCATGCAAACCTGTGCCACAGTGTGCAAAGCCGTGCCTCAGTGTGCAAACCTGTGCCACGGTCTGCAAACTCATGCCTGTGGCGTGCAAACCTCTGCCACGGTGTGCAAAGCCATGCCACGGTGTGCAAAGCTGTGCCCACAGTGTGCAAACTCATGCCTGTGGCGTGCAAACCTCTGCCACGGTGTGCAAAGCTGTGCCATGGTGTGCAAGGCCATGCCCGCAGTGTGCAAACCTGTGCCACGGTGTGCACAGCCGCGCCGTGGTGTGCAAGGCTGGTCCATAGGGTGCAAGGCCATACCCACAGAACGCAAACCAGTGCCCCGGTGTGCAAGGCTGTGCCACGGCGTGCAAACCCCTGCCAGGCTGTGCCAAGCCGTGCCCACGCTGGCCGGGCTGTGCCATGGCGGCAGAGCTGTGCCAGGCTGCGCCAAGCTGGGCCACGGCATGCAAGGCTCTGCCACGGGTGCCGCGGTGTGCCGACCTGTGCCGCGGTGTGCCGACCCGTGCCCGGCGCTGCCGGCACGGGCAGGGAGACAGGCTGGGGCAGTGCCAGATGCTCCATTACTTTATTAATACCTGGATACAGTGCGGTGCCGGTCCCGGCGCCCCCCCGCTACTCCAGCCTGATGGGGGGGG